AAAAGAATCCAAGAATCTGATTCACCCCTCCCTTCAAAACTTCTGAAATGTGTCACCTTAGAACAATTATAAATGTGATTAAAGATGCTATCTAATTCCACATACCAAGACTAAAAAGCTTACACCTACTTCTTTGGAAAGTGCTTATTTATTTGGCAATGCCATGGTTTAAAAAAAACAAAAAACAAAACAAAAAAGGAGTAAATCTCTCCTTGCCTGCAGCCTCTTCCCTTCCCCCAGTATAATGTCATCTACTTCCTGTGCAGGAGAGAGCCTCTGCTAAATCCAGGTTGTCTCATACTTAACTGCCAATAAACCAACTTCCACATAACTTCCAGACAGCTGGGGAAAAGGTCCTCGGAGTTTTAGTCATGGTCCAGAAACACGCGTCCACACAAAAATTTGCAGCTGTCCTTTCTCTACAGTGCATTTTTAATGTGATTTGGGGGCCCCTGTTGGGAAACATCTGACAAAATGTAAAATCCTCTTAGATACCTTCTCATTTACCCACTGTGCGTGTGTAAGAGAAGTTGCACCCGGGCTTCTCAACCAAGGAAAATCTGGGCACTTTCTGCAGGCACACAGGCACCTCGTGGGATGTGAGGAGGCATTCAAAACCTGCAAAGGCTTCTACTGTAATCTTTGAAAGCACAGCCTCTGGTGCAACTATTAAAATGCTAGTTTTCTAAAGCAAATATTTTTTTAATGGCGCGCAGAACTGCAGTTATCCTGGGCTGCTAACAGAAAAGCATTCTGGATCTGCCAGCCCCCGGAAACCTTCCTGTAACTTTTTCACAGCTTGCTAAGAAACAGAAAGCTGACTAGCTTCCAGCAGTGACTCTAAATGAAATCCGTATCAGTAAAATTAAAATCAAGGTGGAAAACTCCTAGCCAGAACCGGGATTGTTTGCCTCCAAATCTTTTCTCAATCAGATAGGGGGCATCAGTAAAAGCTACTTCCCTTAAGCAGTCCAAAGTTTCCAAAAACACTGCTTCCAAATAAGCACTTTGGGCCCCCAGCTGCCTAATAGCTTATTTGGGGGGGTTCAGAAAGCTTTAATTTCAACAAACTGCAAAGCGCTGGCGTATTAAATTTATAATCATTAAAATATGACTTATTGGGTGCATGTTGAGCCCATAATCCATACTGCAGACATTAAACCCCAACCTATAAAGATTAGCACAGAATTAATGCTGTTGCATTGAGATTGGAATCTAAACATGTTCGCCATAAATATTTCTGAAGGAGATGAAAAACAATTAGCATAAATACCAAAGAAGGGCAAGAACACCTGTTCTTTTTCAGGGCGATAAGCATTTTATTGTTCTCTATTTAAAATGTAATGACCTGTGTAATTACAGTAATATTACATTGTTATGTAGGGGCTTGGAATGTCACACTTTGAAAAGTGTTGTCAAAACAATCAGGGGTGAAGGTGGGGGGTGAGAGGACAACCAGGGAAGGACCACCATTAACCCTTCACACTCTCGAGGTCTAAATCTTTTGTATTAGAAAGGATTATGTTGTTTGAGTGAGAGGAAAAAACATCCATTTTTCACAAGCCAGAAAGAGAAGATGTTTGCCCCGCTTAATAAAACCCCAATGAATAGGCCCCTCTTGGTTTCTTTTAAATGCTGGATTCCAAGTTCAAAAATGAATTCAAGATGCTGCTTATTTATTTGTTCAACCTAGTAGCCAACAGCTCAGTTAAAAAAAACCAACTAACTTTGGGCTGTAAGAAGATGCGAGAGCTGTGATAATCAAGTCTTAAAAAGAAATCTCAGACCTAACTAGAATCCCGACCACCCTGTTCCTACTCCTCGTTTGGCAAGGGGGAAAAAGAAACGTGAAACTTACTTTTTCCTATCACCTTCAATATGGTAACAACACTCTTATCTTTAATATACAAATGTTACCACAGTTCTAATATTTGCTCTTCTATCACTTACCATCTACTTAACCAGACCTCTCTCCTTAATGCAGTTTTGTATTCGAATCTGTCTTTTTAAAAGCCCTTCCTATTACTGTATCAAAGACTAAATTAATGTTACGCAGAAGGCTTTGTCGTTTTAAAATAAAATTATTACTATCGAGCTTTATGGCGTCTTCCGCAATTAAAGCATTATTCTTGAGATAATGTTTTATTCATCATAGCTGATTTAACGATACTCCTTAAATCTTTACATTCTTAAACAGAAAAGCAGGAATCAGGGATCCAAAGAGTTTGCTTTTTTAAAGGACGCAGCTGCTTACAGGTACACTAACAAGGAACAGAAACCGCAGCAAAAACACCACCACCAAGGAGGGTCGGGAAAAGGAAGCATCCAGCTAGCTGGTCTTTACACCTTGCTCTCGAAAACCCACTCTATGAAGCACTAAGAATTTCAGGGGAGCATGAAAAGACCCCTATCTTGCCTACAGATGCCCTCCGTAGCGGTTATCAAATCTGAAATTGCAAGCTGGCCCTCTGATCGAAGACGTCAGAAGTGACACGCAACAGCCTCTCGTCCCCATTTCTACTGCTCTGCTTACTGGCCTAAATAAATAACTTTAATTTTGGAGCACAGGCTCTCACCCAGGTAACCAAGGGGAAGGAGGAAGGGGCAGCAGCACACACAAAGATGTCTGTTGGTGTTTGACATGCAAATCTCAAAACTGCCTACTGAGTTCAGAAATGTCCTCTCATACTCCATCTGATGTCAGAGCACAAGGCCACCCGCTACGTCCACAATTAAAATAGCTGGAGCGGTCTATTCCTATAATGCCCACAAAGGAGACCCAAGGGTTGGGAGCCTTCCTTTTCCCACCGGGAAATCATTTACTTGCCTTTAACCATTTCCCTGTTTCCTAATTACAGCACAACACAACTGTTCAAGTTGTTAGGCGGCCGTGGGGCAAGATCGCCAGCGGTCAGGCTGGGAGTTTGAAAAGAGTCAAGAAGGCCAAGAAGCCCGCCATCAAAGCTCAATATTCAGATGGCCTTTCGGATGGCTAAGTGGATTTTTAAATAATACCGGAGAGGAATCCATCGAAGGGGGAGGGGAGGAGAGTAAGAAATTCTCAGGGTTACTTTGGAATGTGGCTTGGTGGGGTTGGTCACTACACAAACCCTCTCTGATTCTGAGCGGAATGCTCCCGGTTTAAGATGCCCACGAGCTCCCAAGAAAAATACAACGTAACCGGTCTGTGCTACCCCTACAGCTGCAACCCCACAGCCAGGCCCCCGCAGCCTGGCGGAGCTGGCCCCGCAGGAGGAGGTCGGGCTGAAACGCTCTACCAGCTTCCCAAGCGTGCAGAAGCCTGGGTACAGGGAGCGAGGGAGGGGGGATAATTATTTCTCTCCTAGCCACAAAAAGTGACCGGTCTGGCATGCCCTTGCCCTTTTTGCCAGGGCCCAAAAAACAAGTAAAACCTGATAGTTAATATTTTAATGCTTAGAAACACTTGTAGATCGGATCGCCTCCCGACCGGCCAGCCCTCGGCCATTAGAACCGAATCCACGGCTGCTGAACACTGGGTACATTATTTCAAATTGCTATCTCGAGTTACCGAAAAAGAGAAAACAAAAGTAGTGTGTGTAAATAAGGAGTAAGGGGACCAAACCAGAAAAGGTGCAAAATGACAATCCCGGAAAACCCGGCACAAACGTCCAAAGGCTGTCTCTACAGATTGGCGATCCAGGCTTTTTACAAGAAGGTGGGATTGGGGTGGGGGGTGGAGGGAGGGGTTCAGGGCGAGGGCAGGGGGCAGAGGCCGGCAGGAGAAGGGGATGAGTCTTATTAATACAAATGTCAGGGGCGGGCGCGGAACGCACGCTGCGGGAAGCACCCACGAAGCCGGCACCCGGCACCCTGGGGCCCCCAAAGTTGGGTGGCCGGCGAGAAGCAGCCCACTCCCTTTTAGGAGAGGCGCCCTTGGCCTCCCTCACCTTCTACATACCCTTGGGCCGGCAAACCCTGGTCTCTGATCCCCCCCACCGAGGGCCCACTGAGGGCCTTCTCGGAAGCTGGCGAACGCAGACTGGGCTACGAGCCCCAAGGCACCAAAATTCCCTAGAAATACATCGAATCCGCTCAGAAGAGGCCATCCCGGCTGTACACAAACCAAGAACCCGGTCACAGGGGCCTCCCGACTCCGCGCGGCCGGGGAGAGCCCGCAGCCAGCGCGCCCCGCAGCCGAGCCCGCCTCCGCGCCCAGGGCGCTCGCGGCCCTGCGGGGTTGCCAAAGAAAAGCCAGCCCAGAGCCCCCAAGTTTGCAGTGGGAACAGTCTGGGAAGCGTGACCTTCCAGAGGAAAGGGGGAGGGGGACTGAGAGCCAGCGATCGCCACTTTCAGAAAGCTAAATAAATAACCAGCCGAAAGAGAAAGCCAAGGCGCTTCTCCAGGGCCCCGGGCTCCGCGCGCTCGCTACTTCTCCAGTCCAACGCCTGCAGGAAAATCCACTCTCTACCCCGCGCGTCGGACGCAGCACAGTCACTCGGGACCCGGCAGCGGCAGCCAAGGGGTTAACCGGGGAAAACCCAAGACGCCACAGAAGAGGGAAGGAAGAGAGAGGGAGAGAGAGCGAGCGAAAAGAAAGAGCCACACAGTCGTCTTCCCAGGGTGAAACAAACAACACCACCACAGGGGGAGGGGGGAATCAGAGCGCAAAAAAAAAAAAAAAAAAAAAAAAAAAAAATTCTTCTCTTTTCCCCCAACCCAACAAAGCCCTGCTTGGAAAGAAAGATCTCCCCAACATCACGAGGCAGCAAACTGAAAGCAAGAACATGGCGAAGTGCAAACAAATCCAGTCCACAAAAGGCAGAAAAGTTTGGAGAGTTTCGGGCTGCCTGGGCCGCGAGCGGGGGAGGGGAGGCGGGGAGGGGAGGAGGCGGGGAGGGGGAGGCGGGGAGGGAGGGAACCAGGGAGGGGGGGGGGGGGGGGGGAGGGGGCAGGGCAGGGGCCGCAGGCGGGGCGGGGGGGGGGGGCAGCGGGCGGGGGCCGGGCGAGGAGGCACTTACGGTTCGGGCGGTGGGCGAGAGCGATCCGTTGGGGAGGTAGGGGCTCGTCAGGTCGGGGATCATGATGAAGGGGTAGCCGGGATACGGTGGCCCCTTAAAGAGCCCTCCATCTTGCCTCTTGGCCGCTAACATGGCGGGGCGGCGAGGGGACGGCGGCGGCCGCGCCGAGCGGGAGAGAGCGAAGAGAAACTTTTTAGAAAGTGCCCCAAGTAGCCGGGCGCCCCGGCAGGGCCGGCGCGCGGCCGGGCCGAGCGGGGCGCGGGGCCGGGGCGCGCGGGGCGGCGGGCCCGGGGGGCGGCTCCGGGCGGTTGCGGGGCGCGCGGGGCGTACTCACCTTCTTCCAAACTTTCCCGGGATTTATCTCGGAAACTTTCGGAGCGAGGCGGAGGCCGTCTTTCCGCCTTCCCGGAGGGGTGGAGGTGGGGAGGGCGAGGGGCAAACGCCACGCAGAGGGGGCAGAAGGGGGAGAAAAAGGATCAGCGGGGTGGAGGGGTTTTGGTGGGGGGAGAGAAAACAGGGTTACAAGTTTCTGCAATGGTGGCACCGCGCGCACACGCCGTCCGCCCGGCCCCGCGGCGCCCCCGGCCCCGATTCCTCCCTTCTCGGCACCGTTTGCCAAGCCCAGGAAATAGACTCAAGACCCCACCAGCCCGAGGGGCTTTTCCTACCTCGGAATCGGAGGAGCTGTTTTGATTTGTTTCTGATTCATTGACTAGAGACGATTTGACATCAGCTAAATCCCTCTCTGCCGAGGAGTTTTCGGAGCTCTTCTCCTCCTGCTCGCCCTCGTCTTTGAAGGAAATCAGTTCGTCGTTGGCGCCTAGGTCATCTCCTCCACCGCCGTTCAGCTGCGGCATTTTTTTCACCCACCAGCAGCAATTTTGGAAGAAAAATGAAGGAGGAAGAAAAGCCAAAAAAAAAAAAAAACCCCAAAAAGTTTTGACCCCCCCCCCAAAAAATGTTACAAGAAAAAGACGAGTCCAAGGTGAACTTTTTTTTCTGCTTTGGGGTCTTTTTCTCCTGGGGAGGGGAAAGAGGGAGAAGGGGAGGGGAAAGGGGGGGAGATCTTCTGCACGCGTGAGTTTGGGTTTCTTTTTTCTCTCGTTCCCAAGGATCCGATCAATGTGCAAAAAAAATAATAAATAAAAAAGGGGGGTAAAAAAAAAACACACCAACAACAACAAGAAGTCAGATATAAAGAGCAAAGGGGGGGGAAGCCGAAGATACAGGAGGAGCTCGTGCCGCTCGGATTTGAGTGAGTTGAAGTTAGACTGAGAGCTTTTCAGTTCAAAGGCGGCGCTGATTGACAGATAGAAAAAGGGGGATCGAAATCCGGAGGAACGGAGTAGTCTGGGAGCGGAGATTATTGACAGGGCGAGAGGAACACACTCGCTTAATGAGATGCCGGGGGGCGGGGCCGGCCCGGTGACGTGTGCATAAATAAACAGCCGGGGTGGGCGGGGCGGGGGCGGCTAACAATGATCCTTTCGGGCGCCGGGAGAGGGAGGAGGGAGAGGAGGAGGAGGAGGAGAGGGGCGGGGGAGGAGGGGGGGTGGAGAGTCGGAGGGAGGAGTGTGCAGGGGGAAAGGCCTGCGCTGAGTGGGTGCGAGCCCGCGAGTCTGGGCGAGGGTACAGGACTCGCTCCGGGAGGGGGGCGGCTTCGGAAGGACAATGCGGAGTGGGAGAGGAGGGGAAGGGGGTGGCGACCGAGTCAGGAATCCGAGCCGAGGAAGGCGGAAGGAAAGCCCACTTGGGGGGCGGGGATGGGGAGAGGCCCAGAAAAAGTGCCCTTTGGAAATATTAGAAATCAGTCTTAAGGAAGGGGAAAAGGAGGAGAGTACTGTAGGGAAGGGGTTGGGGGGTGGGGTGTCGCTGAGTGGCTAATCCAGCAGGGAAATCAGCCACCCTTGGGCGGGGATCTAACAGAAGTGGTCAAAAAGAAAGATCAACCCTCCACTTTCAGAGAGCTTGGGGAAGTGGGGAGCTGGGCAAAGTTCCTGGTCATCTGCAGTGAAAGAAACTATTAGCCCACGAGGTCTTCCCTCCCCTTTTTGTTTATTAATAGTGAGTCATTTCATTAAATCTTAAGTCTCACTAGAATAAATATACCAAGATGACTTTTTGTCCAAAAAACAATCAAATACTGTAGTGTTAGTCAGGGGCATTAAAAATATCCTTAAGGGAAAATACGTGGTTCTTTTCAATGTAAAGTGTTCATTCCCCCCCCCCCTCCTTTGGTAACTGACGTTGGAGGTGGTAAGAAATGAGCTGGGATTCAAAGTCCTTTCTGCCTTTGGAGGTGAAAAGTTTGGGCGTTAACACCGCCAGGGAAAATAAAACTGAAAGTTCACCAACCCCTGGGATCAGTGGTGCTGGAGTCTTTCTCCAAGGGGGTGTGAAATGAAATCCCCAAAAGACCGGCCAAATAATCAAGATGTAGATGGCTCTGGCAGGAAATTGCTAACCACTGCTGATGCTGAAAGAGCTCTGGGAGGAGGTGGAAAACCTGGGGTTTGAGGCAGGTATTGTTGTTTTTAGGCACTCGCCTGGGGAGCAGATTTGCTACAAAATGGGGAACAGAATTATGTTAAAGAGGAAAAGGTCTGACTCTCCCAAAACATAGTCTTCCTGGATGTTGGAGCAGGAGCACTCATTTTCTTGCAAATATCCGATGAGAAGTGGACCGGAAACTGTAACATGAAAGGGGGGGGGAACCAAAAAAAAAGAAATCAATAGGAATTAGCAAATTATCTGTTAGGAACAGTGTTGGTCTGCAGTCCATGATATACTAAATTATCCCACCAATTCCTAAAAAAACTCACATCCGTTCCAACTGGCCCATCAGCACCTAAGGTTTCTAAAAGAAAGCAAATTTGCCATGTAATATTTAGAGAGTTTGGGTTTCAGCAAAACTGTTTTATAGGCTAAGGTCTCAGAAAGAAGTCTACTAAAAATAATGATACCAAGATTGACAAGGCCAGTGAATTCCCCTGCACTGGGAAAAATTCACAACCACATTAGCACACTAAAGAGTAAAGATGCAGGCAAAATAAAATGGGGGTGGGGGGGCCTATGGAGGAGAATCACTGTAACTCCCAACTTTAATATTAATCAGAAAATCAGAAGTAGAGTGAGAAGGAGCCAGAAAAGAAGTAAAACAAATGTGTACATTTAATCAGACAGGATTGCATAGGATACAAAGCACAGGGCTAATTAGTCTCAGCAGGTAGGACTAACCTTCAGACTTCATAAATAAATAAGGCGGGCACAGTTTCTAAGAGGGAGAGTGGAGACAGAAAGGGGATTATTTTAAGACACCAAGTAAAAACATGAAGAATGAAATGCTTCACTGTTAAATCCATGTACAAATGGATTTAACAGTTTCCTTTTCGTAGGTCTTTTCACTTGGTTGCCTTTAGATTTACACATTTAGCGAATGACCATAGCTTTTCACACTTGCTAATTGTCACCTGTGTGACACCTAGTGTGCCCGAGTCCGTCTGTGTACAGCATAGACTTTCCTAAAGCCTGTTTTAAGGGCTTATTTACTTAAACTGGAACACATTCATAGTAACTCAATTTTATGGCAATTTCTTTGTCCTGTGCAGTTTTATTTTTTTAATCTAACCCTGATCTGAATTAAGTTGGATAGTGAGGTCTTCTATGTCCTCTATAGGACTACCTGGATAAGAAAAGCTCATAAATACACTGAATGGAAATTTTAAAGCATGTACTTGTTGTTTTTAACGTCCTGGCCTGCATTTTTAGCATATGTAAATACTAACGGCTTTCTTCCAATGATTAGTAACCTTATCCACTTTGGCATACCCTCATATTTCTCATTCAAAGGAAACTCTTGAATCTTTCCTCCTTTAAATCTCTGATTTAATTAAGTAACTAAAAGTTATTCCATGATAGCACATGTGCCACATTTAATTTCATTGCTTGGGGAGACCCGCAAGATCTCAGAGGGTCAGTAACCCCCAAGTATCCGGAAGGGCTTCAGGCGATGCCTGGGTGGGAGGTGGGGGAGGAAGAGGGTGTGGAATTGCAAATGGCAAAAAGCAGGGGAATATAATACATTTCTTAAAAAGTCAGGTTGGCTCGCAATGTGGACATGTACTTTATAGATTCGGTGTGGAATTTTAAACAACAGTTGGCTTGTGTCCAGGTGTGGAGGCAACTTCTCTCTCTAGATGACTCCTGGTTTACAAGACCATGAGTTCTGCCCCAGTAGTAGGGGGTTCGAAGAACACAGGGAGGAAACCAGACCAGTTCTGACTTTGGCCTGAGCCAAGGGGTTTTGCAGATTGGGAGGGGAGCAGGGTGGTGGAGAAGCTATGACCTCTTTCTTTGGTGCCCATTCCTGGGGCCAGCCGAGGTCCCAAACTCTAAGGAGACTGTGCCTCAACCTCTCTTCCTTCCTGCTTCTCCTCCTCATCCACTGCCCTTTTGCTTTCTTCACTCCTCTGTTTTCTCCTCCCCGTCAGCTGTCCCTCCGTTCAATCCCTGTGGACATGTGTTGATATGAGTCATCTGCATTTTCCCTTGAAAATTAAGTGAACAGGTCACCTTTCTCAGGGATACTTCCTTTTCATCCCTATTGGGGCGTGGGCAAGGAGGTTTCAGTGGATATAAATCATTCTTCGGGCATTGGTTCCCTATGGGGGAGCCATGGCGGAGTGGTAGGTGCCCTCCAACCAATGGGAATGTGCTTGACGGGGATGGCGGAAATAAGCCAACTGTTACCTTTGTCCTCTGAGAACTGTCTCACCTCACAGATGAGGCGGTTGGACTGGGTATTTCCCCGGGTCCTTCTTTAACACTCAGGGGGCGCATGATTCCATAGTTTAAGCCCACACCCTAGTTATGCTAAGAAGTTCACCAGCACACCAGCAAAGAGGACAAAGCATGTTGGAAGTTTGGCTTTGGAATTTAGGAAAAACTCACCGGAAGTGGAGAATACATGTTGACTGCCACACTCAGCTCCCCCAACCGCTCAGCCAGATTCCACTCAATGACACTCGACAGTGACGTGTACACGTATGCGTGTGTGTGTTATGTATTCCGTGTGATGTTTCCTTTAAGACCTGGGTTCCAAGATGGATGATCGGTACCCACTGTGTTGGACTTATCTATGCAGGGACTGTGCTGACTGAGGGAAGCCAAAAAAAGAATCTGAAAACATAAGGAAGCTATAAAATGGGGAAATGTTTTGAAGCCGAAGTCCTGCTTCCACTGTGAGATTTTCTGTTTGCTTTTTATTCTGCGTGGGTGATGGTTCCTTATTTGGACCTTGAGGAAAGCTACTCCCTGAGCCAACATAGGAACACTAAAAATTGGACACCTCTGAGAGTTTTCAGCTTTAGCAGGAGGAAGGGGTAGGCAAAAAAGGCCCACTTCACAGGCATCCTTTTATTTTTCCCCAATGATTCTGTCAAGGGACATGGAAAGGCACATCCCCACTTCTTGAAACCCTGAGGAGCACTGCTCTGTTCTGGCATTTTTCTGAAGTGCCTGGCTTGATCACCTTGCTTCAGCTAATGACAGGTCTGGGTAATAAAGTGACAATAATGCCTGATGATCCAAGGGTTAATGGGGAGATGTATGCATTTGTACAGCGTTTCATCACCTGCCTTCATAAGCGGATCACTACCGCACAGGCGTCTGTGACAGGAGCCGCCTTTCGAAAGACACCAGTCCTCCATAAATATACCTTTCTTATTGACAATATGTATGTCTTTTAACCCTAATAGTAATGGAAGAAGGCCAATAAATGAAACATTTACTGCATAACTTGCCTTATTTTGGGGTGGTGTACGATTCCTTTCTAGCCATCTCTAGAAGATGTTTTCAGCCTAATTTGCTCCCTAGAAATTTCGCTTGCTA